TAAAAATAATTTTAAAGGACCTTTTTCATGTCTTATGCATCAATGAAACAAATTTTTATGTTATTTTATAATCCTTTGTGAATTTGGGAGGTCATATTTAATTGGATATCCAGAGCATTTGCTAGAAAGGGTAAAGCTACCCTGCTGGTGAGATGGAGAGGCAGGAAATCTCTTCTGCAGTGTATTTGCAGCCCTATGGGCCTTTATTGGTGAAAAATTCTATATGCCTGTTATTATTTCATCAGTTCAATTTGAACCATACTTTGGCTTCAGTCTGTTCTATTCTACATAATCTACTTTTTCAGTAAATCTGCTTCAGTCTGCAGTACCCTCCCAAAGTAAAAGTAATCCAGATGGATGATGATAAGCCATATTTTAGTCTATGAGATACCTTTTCCATTATTCTCTTTTTGATCCTTCTTACAGTCAAACCTCTTGTTCAATCACCCTGCCAGGCAGTATAAAAAAGGGGGAAGAGATGGCCTTTTAGCCTAGGTGAGGTGAAACAACTCTGTCACAAAGAAATGCAATTGTATATTTTCTGCCAGGACACCGTATGCCAATTGCTTGACTTAGGGAAAATGGAAGAAGGAATTAGTGAGAGCCTGCAGTGCAGATTTCAGAGGTGTTTTTGTTCTTCTCACTGCTCTCTCTTTATCTTTTCTCCTGGCAAGGCTTTCTCCATCACACTGTGACAATTCTTTGGCACTGGTGTTGAATACAGACAAGTCCTGATGCAGTTGTGAAGCCTCTGGGATTCTGGGTAACAGTTTTGGGCACTGCACAGCTTCAGAGTGTGCCCTGTGTGTGCCCAGCTGAACCTGTGCCCAGGTTGATTCTGGAGATGTGCAGTGTCTACTTTGTGTTTCATTTGCCAGACTCTGCACATTTGTGTGTATCCCTCAGTTCCCTGCAATTCTACTTTTTGTGCTGTTGTACTACAAAAAGGCAGAAAGAGTGAAACAGGTTAATAGCCCATGGAACACACACAGCATGGATTTGTATTGGACAGGTAACAGAGCACAGTGTCAGTCCTGATGCAGCAAAAGCAGCCCCTAAATTCTCACCTTTTAGACATTTTTCTTTGGTCTGTATGAAGAAAATAAACATTTTTCTCTTGGTTTCCATCCTTCTTTTGTGTATTTGCATTGCAGGCTTTAGCAGTGTAAGATTAGCACATTTATACCTCTTGCCTACCTGTACAAATTTCAGAAGGATTTCTGCTCTCACTTGCTTCCTCTCTGTTTTTACCTTTCCTGGTGCCTTCTTTTGTCTCCTGTGCAATATGAAACTGGTGCCATAAATATTGTGAAGGGCACTGCTGGCCTGAGTATGGACAATTCTGACAAATGTTAACAAGGGTGGAGTCAAACTGGATAAAGAACTTTAGTCTAAAGATTGTTTTTCCAGATTGAGCATCTTTATTGCTGAGTGGAGAAACCTCCACTGCCTGTTACTTTCAAAACAAAAAATACAACAAAAAAGTCTCTCCTCACCTTCCCCTCCTCCCCCCACCCCCAGAAAAATTATTTCTGGAGATATTTGTGTATTGTTCATCAGGTTAAGAACAGAAGGAGGTCTTCTTGTAAAAGCTAAGGAACATTCCGCAGGCAAGAAAAATCAATTTGGGTGTGGAATGAAAGCATATTAAGGAATTGTTACCTACATAATTTGAGAACATAAATTCACAGTTTCTCTAACTGGTAATTTTACTGTTTCTCAAGTAATTGTCAAGAAAACAGAATCTTTTGTAGATTCAGCTAGTAAAAAAATTCACATGTATTTATAGAAATAATTTCAGTTTTAAGATCATGTGTGGCAAAATTTGATATTTTTAAAAAACTTTTTTTATTTAATAACAGCAAAATATATCTCTAAAGCATGTTTTGGTATTTACTGTTTTCCACTAAATAGCCAGTAGTGCTGTGGGATTTTATTCGTGATTTAAAATGTATTGGTTGAAAGTTGGCATATAAATTGAAAGTATAAGACAGTACACAAGGGATGGTGAATTTAGTACCTTTAGATGGTGAAACATTTTGTTCACTTAATTAGTTAAGGAAGGATAAGTTAAGTTAGAAAAATGAGTGTAGAAAATCAGCAGTGAATTTTAGTGCAAGTGTCCATCATAAATAAGCAAGAGTAAGCCAGATTTGGGGTTTTAAGATATTTTAGCCTGCATTTTCGATCTCCATTTAATTGATTCATAAATCAATTAATTACTGTCACAAGACCCGAGGGCAGCAGGAAATTGGGTTCAAATTAAAAAGAAAAGGAGGCAATTTGTTTTAAGATTGAAAGTTGAATGTTCAATCGAAGTTTAATCAGAAGTGACCCATTATTTGAAAAGTAGAACATCAATGTCGTTCTAATTTCACAGAATGCTTCATTAAATGAGTATTGAAAAGACCAGGTTAACTGATCATTCCAAAAGGAACACAAGACAAAGGAAGCTCACTTCCAAATACATGTTGCGCTTGTTCATTTCTCTTCTGAAGAATTCACAGAGATACCAAATAATTTCATTGGGAATTCAAGATTATTGGGGTGGTCCTTTGTAGATTGTAATGTTTGTTTGATAAAACATAACTTCATTTAAGAAGAGAAAATCTTCTTAATCCATTTGGATGGCCATGAACATAAAGAAAAATTAACAGAACACGATGAAAAGCAAAGGCAGAAATTTTCAAAGCACTGCTGGAAGTTGGGCCTCCTAAATTTTAGGATGTTTCACAGTGTTCTGACCTTGAAAAGGTTTTCCCGTGATTTGATACCATCTCCAGAGCATTCACAATGCACTGAAGACTCTGCCCTGTGAACAAGGTGAGGGTGCTGCTGATGCCTGGCTGGGGCAGAGCTGATGATTTGTGTTTAGGAGGTGAGTGTGGGAGAAAATGAGGACAACAACTGCAGCTGTAGCTCCTATTGTGGTTGAAAAGCATAAAGGAATAAGACTTTTTAATGCTTTTGGATCAGCAAGTCTTTCTCTTGGTGTGCATTTACTAGAAATTTGCTTAGCAAATTGCTGTTCAAAAAAACCCAAAATACAACACTCATTTGTTGTGAACTTGGTGAAACAACAACATAGAAGTGATTCAGTTTCCAGCTTGTGGAAGGTGTTGCTCTTGCTGTTAAATGCTGAGAGATGCTCTTGGAACATCATCTGGACCCTCTCTCTGCCTTGTGCTCCCTGGAATAAAGAGTGGGCTTCTGTTATTTGGGAAGCTCATGCAGCCTTCTCTGGTGAGCATAGTGCTTGAAAAACAGCAAAAGGCAAGAGAAACAAAGTTGGTCTTTCTAGCAGTTCCTTATCTTGTTATGAGGAAAAAACCAACAAACAACAAAACAAAAAAAAAGCAGCCACTGCTGTTTTAAACATTCGCTTTTACAAGTGCACAGCAAGATGATTTCAGATGTCAGCAAGTTGTTTCAAACAGCAATCCTTTTCAGGATCTTTGCAAGCAGGGACTTGATTCCTTCATGACCAAAACAACTCTTCCCTTGTGATGTCCAAGTTGTTTTGCTTCATTTGCAGATTGTTGCCTGTGTAAGTTGAGTTCTAACAAAGGCAGAGGCTGCTGGTTCACCTGGCCCAGGTGGGGTCTGGAGTGAGGTGGGAGAGAAGCCAGGTGAGCAGTGCCTCCCTGCTTTCCAGGCAGCTGATCCACCAAGCTTTACATTCCAAAGATATTTCTCCAGATGGAGCAATAATCTGACCTTGTGTAGCAAATCTAATTTGGTAGTCACTCCCTTCCAGGACTTTGAGTGAGATACTCAAGAGTGAATATAAATAATGCAACTCTCTTTAAGTTATTGATTGTGTTTATGTGACTGATGATGAGCAGCATTAGCACCACCACAGCAGAATGAGGGTGTTCCTCAGCAGCCCCCCAGTCAGATGGCACAGCTCTGTAAACTGCTGTGCAAACTTGAAACAAAGATGAATAGTTATGAGTTAATGCTGAAGTATGTATTTTATCTTTGTAATAAATGACTTTGTGCATCTTCTCCCTGAGACCGAAAAAAAAAAATTCTGAAAGAAAAAATGACTTCATTTATTTTTGTGATGTTTCTGTGACAAGTTATGCAACACACAGATGCATCACTGAACACAAAAATTTATATGATGCAGTGTTAATTATATATATATATATATATATAATTTTTTTTTACAGTGTGGTGGGAGTTTGCTACCAGAAATAATCCCCTAGAAATGCATAGAAATACTGACAGAATATTGATCATGAAGGCATTAATTTATAGAAAATTTCAACAAGCAAATTTACCAGCAATGTAATGTAATTCCTGCTTTAGGCATCTGGGCACCTTTGAGGCTCAGAGGTTTGTTTTATACTGTTTTGCTTTTTTTTCCAGCCCACTCCTTGGTATTGGTGTTTTGTTTCCTTGTGACAACAAATGTGCAAATAATGTCTTGCTTTTTTTTTACAGTACAAGAAGAGACGAACATTCTGTACAAACAATATATTAGATTGTCTGGTGTTAAAATAGTGGTCAACCTCAAGTATATCATTTTAGGGAGTTGCCAAAAATCCCTTATTATGTAGATGGTATCACTGGATAGAGAAGTAGGATGGTTGGAGAAGATAAAAAAGTATTCCTTGATTATTGTGGTTACATTTCTCCTGAAGACTTAAATCATAATATAGTTAATAAAATGTGTGATTGCTGCTTAGCACAGAATAAAGCTATGTCAATTTATTTATTTTTTTTTTTCTCCTGGTAGGCAAAATTTTTAGCTGCTTTGGGAAGCACAATTACAGAGACAACTGCCATTCCAGAAATAAAGTCATGCTACTTAGGAGTTTTTTGCCTTTTTCAGGGGCTTGGAATCAGTTAATGAGATCAGTGAAATAAGTGTCGTAATCAACAAAATTTAAGAAAGATTTGAAGGGTTTCTCAATCTATCAACAAAATTCAATAACCAGTTGAAGGAGGAAATCAGTGTAGAATCCTAAAAACCCCTTTCTTCTTTCTCACAGAATTCCAGCTTTCTCTCTGAAGCTCTTTTTCCTGTACATGCAACAAAAACTGAAGAGTTGGATCCCTCCTTCAGTCTGCATGAGACCATTGCAAAGGTAAGAGAAATGCAGATCTCATTTATACATACTTTCCTTTTGAATTTGCTAATACTTTTGAAATATAATTTATTTCCCTCTGAATCTCTTGAATATAATTAAAAATTGTGGAGTTCTCTTGCCTGAGATCTACCTTGGGAATATTCTTTACACTGGTCAACTTGTGTGATCAAAGCAGTTTCACATTCAAATGCTTCATTTGAAACTATAACTTTTAATTCTTATTTTTCACTGCATATCACTCACAGTCTGCTTTGCTTGTATGGCCACTCAGGCTGGTGGAAAAACTTGTGTTGATTTGAAGCTCTTCATCTCCACTAGGGAAATAGGATTTTAGTGTTTCTTAGGGTTTTCCATGTATATGGGTTGATACTAAACAGTATAAAAGTTTGAGTGTAATTTTTTTACATGAGGGTACTCATGTAAAAAAAAAAGGGTAAGTACTAATAATCAGGTAACTGTGCCTTGTGATCCCTGATGTCAGTGGGTACCCTAATTTCATGGACACTGAAAAGGAGGAGACTGCTAAATGTGGCAGAAAAAAAACCGAACAAGATATGCAGCTATTAAACAGATGGATCTGTAATCTGAGTGCTTAGAAGATCTAATTTGTCAGAACAATTCTCAGAACAATTCATATCAAGATCTTGGCACTGAAAAGGTGGATTTAGTGGGATTGCTGTGAGAACCATGCTGATCTGAAGCATTCAAAGACAGAGAAATCTCTAAGCTTCCCAGTGGCAAAGAACTGAAACATTCAGAAGTGTGATGCAGTACAGAACTTGGTGGTATTTTAAGTGAGATTTGCAGACCTTGTAATTTCAATATGAAAATATTTGACATATCAAGTATTAAAATGGAGGAGTGTGTGCCTGTGTGGCAGAAAAGGGATTTTCCCACCTGGCCAGAAGTCAGATACAACTCCCTTTTTATCAAATGCACACTCAGAAAAGTATGTGCTATTTTTAAATAAATTTCATCAATGTTACTCAGCACAGTGTTTCATGGTAACCAATCAATCCAGTGATTAACCAGCTTGAAAATACTTTTCTGTCCACTTTTTGCTCACCAGAGCACGCTCATGAGACTGGGATCATGCAGATGTGAAAGCTGGAATGGCAGAACCCTAACAGGGGTCTGGAGCCACTTACCCAGGACCATGAAATAATCTCATGTTGATTTTGACTCTGTCAGGCACCAAAGTCATGAAAGGCACACCAGAAGTGACATAATTGGTTTTATGATGAGTTATGGGTGCTGACAGATAACTCTTGAGAAAATTATTAGTGAACCTGATTATTCCACACTCCAATTATGGAATTGCATAAAGTAGAATTACTCTAATGCAATTAACTTCTAAACATTAAACAAAAAAGCAAGAGGGAGGAGTGTTTCCCATTTCTAGAGGAAATAAGGGGGGTTTATGCAACATACTGTGTTATTTCTATTTTTTTTAAATATAAACGCTTCCAAGGAGATGACAGGCAGGTTCTCTTCCTGAAGCAAATGGAATGAAAAGTATGCAAATGTAATGTAGACACTGCTGGACTGTTAGTAAATGAAATTCACATTTTGACCACAGATAAGATGCAGCACAAGAATGTTGACTTTTGGCATTTTCTAACAGGATCATACTGGTCTGTTCCTTTGAAGCATGGAAGGGATATATATTCCCATTTTCCTGTGTTTAGTCCCATTAATTTTCTAATATAGGGAACACTCTTTCAAACTGGCAGTGCAGTGACATCCATAACTTTGATAGTTTCTTTCTCTGTAATCTTTGTAAAAATGAAAATCTGTGGTTTGGTGCATGCTACCTCTGCCAAGGATTTTTTATCGTCCTTCATGGTGTCTGCAAATGAGCTTGGTTTTTTTTGTTTGTTTGGAGGTGTTTGTTTTTATTGGGGATTTTTTGCATGCCAAGATAATGCAACATATCTAAATTAACATGAAGGTCTCAAACTCTTAAAATCCCAAAGACTTTTGGGATTTTGCAGATTTTGAATCAGTAGAATAGTAGTGTGAACAGAATGTCTGTGTGGCAGAGTTTTATCAGAGGCATACTATTTCTGGTGTAGATATTTCAACAGAGTATATTCTTATTCCTGTGTTATTCCTACTATATTGTGCCCTTTTGGGAATCAGATCTTTCTTGAAAAGGTTGTGCCTGAGCATGCCAATAGCTTCTGCATTGAGGCATCTCTACATCTGTGCATGCCACTGAGGTATTTTCTGTTTTCATTTAGAAATTGCCTCTGTGTAGAGACAGAGGATTTGGCAGAATTGTTTGAGCAGCAGAGACACAATATTACTCCAGTCAGAGTTATGGCACCTACAGTGTTAAAGAGTTTCTTAGGTGTGTGCAGAACTCATCTCACTGAGCAAACAGAAGTCTGATGCATCTGAACATATCTCACATCCCAGAAAACCCTTTGTCCTTGCAAGGCCCAGGCAGATACATGGCAGCCTTCCCCCACGTCACTGTGTGGACATTTTTCCTATATGCTCTGATTTCCATCACGAAAATGTGGCACTTGAGTGTGAATTTTCACAGGTAATTTCTCCAGTTAGCTTTCTTCAGTGATGTATTCTGTTTGATGTAATTTTTAAAGTTCCTGATTCAGTCGCATGTGCCAGACTTTGCCATCACCCCTCAGTCTCTTTATCAAAGGCACAAGTTCTGCACAGACCAGCAGAACTCTCACGTCTCTTTGGAGGTGAACTACATTATGATTTTGTTCTTTCAAAATGAATTATTCAAGCCCCCAGTCAACAAGCAGGAAGATGGACTGGGGTAGGTGACAGATGCTGGATGAGGTTAGCAAAGTAGAAGAACAGGGCTCAGTGTGTGAAGTGAGGACCAAGGTGGGGACCTGATCCATATCCATATTTCACAGTCTACTCTTGATACTGAATTTTTACATGTGGAGTTTGACCTTGTTGTGAATCTACCAGAAATGTCTGGGCTACCATTTGTGTGCCCTGTCACACATGAAAACATGGGGTTTTGGGCTGAGAAGGCTGGCAGCAATTCATGGTTTTTTTCAGAGCTCTCATCTGCCCCAAGGTGATGGAGCAGCATAAGTGCAGTGTAATGTGACAGCTGCTGTAGTCACTCCCTAAGTTAAATAATTTGCTTTTTTTTTCTGACCAACATCTCATATACTAGCTCTGAGAATCTTACTGGTGTTTATGGTTTGATGGTATTTGAGATGTTCAAAGCAAAACTATTGTCTGTAGTGACAGTGTGAATACAAACAAACCCCAAACTTTGTGTTTTCCTGCAAAGCAGCACAGGCACCCGTATTTCACAGGAATGGTTTGATTTAGCAGCTATTCTCTTAAGCACACAAGTGAGACTCTTTGTTTTACCTTTAGCCTTCGTGCATGAAAGAACATATAATCCAGTTCAAGCAGAGGGTAAATACAAACCTGCTGAAAACTCCTTTCTACCAATATGTGTTTTATTCTGTGGCTATGGTCAGCAGCAATAAAAACAAGAGCAAATCTGGTGATATAACCTGGTATGAGAACTTTGTAATTGTAACTAGTTAATTCTAATTAATTCTATTAATCGTGGTGAATAGGAAATTAACAACATTCAAAAGATAAAAAAAAAAGCTGTCTGGGGATTTTCTCAGCATTAGATGTGAGAGAAGTGACTTTGCTGCTAAAGACATGAGGTTTTGTGACAGACAGTCACACTGTGTTTGGCCAGACAGCATATTCTCTATCTGCTCCAGCCTAGTTAGGGGAGATATGCTTGGAATTTTTCAGTAGTTCTTTGTTCCTAAAAGCAAGTAGCCTCAAGGACTCTTGCACTTTATACTTGAACTCTGATGGATAAAGACTAGGTAATAAAAATAAGCTGAAATTGCAGAACCCCTGGTAAAAATTTGATGAACCAGCTGTACCAGCCAACACAGCTCCACTTGGTTAAGTCAGGTATTAAAAAACAGCTCTATTCCCCTCCCCTCTGAAATTTTCCATATCTTTTCTGCTGATATGCTAATATGCTTCCTTCAAAATGGAAGAATTATTACAGGACAGAACTAATTAAATTTTCTCCTGTGACATATATTCATGAGGTTGTGGGAAGATGTCAAGTCTCTGTTATTACAAGATTGTTTCTGAGCTTTTTTTTTTTTTGGGTCACTGGAATGTAATGCTTTCAGCTTAGAGAACTCTGACAGCTCTGAAACTATCAGAACAACCAGGAGCTGTGGTTTCAATGAAAAAAGGGAAAAATCAACAAAAAAATATAGCAGCCATTAGTAGCATGTGTAGAAACCACCCCCATGGATTGTCTGTGAACATTCTTACCTGTGCAGTTCTCTGACTGAAAACAGAAAATTATTTCTGCATTCCTTAAGTACTTTTGATATTGCAATAAGACTGTATGTTCTTTTAAAAAGTTATAATTGGCTTCTGTCAGAATGTTTCTTAACCAAATTGCTCTTCAAAACCATTAGTTCCTGAAGTCCTCTTTTAGACTTAAATTGTACTTGGCTACTCTCAAGATTTGTCTGCAAATGTCAGCAAAAGGAAAAAAAAAAATCATTGCATAATTTTTCAAGCTAGAGTTGGAATTTAAGTGAAGGAAAAAAAAGTGTCAGCTCCATCTGATCCAATCAAAACACAGGATAAACACATAAGCTATACATAATGTATCATCCTAAATTTTAGGACAGAAAGCCAAGATAGATGTTGTTTGTACATCTCACGGAACACCATTTTTACTGCAAATTACAGCAATCTGAATAAGCAAAAGAAGATAGGTGGGAGTGAGAGGAAACATTGTTTAATCCCTATTTTAGATACAAGAAAATGAAATACTATGAGTCAAAAGTGGTACTTACAGTAACTGAGTAACTACTTCATTTCCTCACCTGAGTACAGAATGAACTTGTAAAATCTGATTTGTTTGACACTAGACAAAGACTGGAACATTTCAAAGCTGGAGATAGATTTCTGAAGGTGCAATACGACAAATACTTGGG